AGGCTTGCTCTCTGCCACCGCTCCTCCGTTTTTGCCCTCTTTTTGCCTTTGCTGTTTTCCACCACCATGAAGAGCTGCGCTCTGCCATGTGCCACTCTGCCTTGGAGCCAGCCGATTGTGGAATAAAACCCCTACAAACTGAGCTAAATAAACTTTTCCTTCCTTAGTTCTGGGCATCAGGCATTTTGTCCTATCAATGAAAGAAAAAAGTTTTTTGGGTTTTTTTTGAGGAAAAATTAAACAAGTAACAAGAACAAAGACAGAAACAAAGCAACATAAAATAATACAAATGGTACAGAAGTTCAAAACAAGAGTAGAAAATTAACAATAGTTGTTATATTATGTATTGTTACCTTCATTTTGTTGCTCCGATTACTAGATACAGGTATGCAAGATTGATCAAACAATTAAACATTAACTCTTCCTTTCAATAAACCTTAATTTTTTCCTTGTCCTCTTTACCTTTTTAAAAATTTACTTTAAAGAGAGTATAATAATAATAATAATAGATAAGACATTAGAGATGGTACATATTTAAAAGAACAAGATGAAAGATATTCAACCATGGCTGTTATATGGCACATTGCTGTCCTCAATGTAGTTGCTCAGATTACACATATTAGGGTATAGTTAAAGTAAAAAATTTAAACATTAACTGCTACTTTCTGATAGAAATTAGTAGTTCAATCATCCCAGCTACCCTTCATATATACTTACATGATTTTTCCCCCTTCTTTTTTCCTGTCTTTTCTCGACACAAGGTTTTTAGTTATTGGTTTAATTTTCTGTTTGGAAAGGCAGTTGGAGTCGATCATAGCTTTTATCTCTGGAGACATGCTTGTTTTGCTAAGGATCAGAGGCCCTCCCAAGCTCCCGATCTTAACTGTTTTTCTACACCTGAGATGGGTTAGGATTTAGTTCTTGTGCCACACTTAAGAGTCACTCTCCTATCCTTTCTCCACTGCCTTGCCTCAGAGAAATAATGCAGTTTGCAAAAGAGTTTGGTCTCATACCATTCCTTCCTCTGTGGCTGCAGAATTTCAGGACCAAGTGGCCAGAACAGTGAGTGTCCTGTCCCTGGGACCCTTCCACCGAGTAGCTGACCTTTACTTATTTCCAGGCCATATTTAAACAACTGGGCTAAAATGTACAATAGGTATTTTGAAATACAAAGAAAATATTCAAATGGTAAGGGGAACTTGGGAGAGGGGAGATGAAAACAAAGAGGAAAAAAATAGTAAGAAGGTAAAAATGAAAACAAAGCTTTTATAAATAAGGAGAGAAGAGGGGCTGAAGGAGGCTAGGAGAATGAGAAAGAGAAAAGACTCAAGTTACATCATGTAGTACCAGGCAGATAGCTCAGTGGCTTAAGTGCCTGCCTGGCAAGGTTGAGAGTTCAATCCCTGAACCCAAAGTAATAAAAATAAAAAAAGTTACATTATGTCCAGGTACCCTATAACGAATGTGACCATTATGTATACTTAAAATGTATCGATAAATTTAATAGAAACAATTAAAAACTGATCTAGACTTAATCCTGAAGCTCTCAAAAAATAAATGTAAAAGATTTAGACCAAATTCATCTGCCCGTAAGCAGAACTGCAGATTATCTCCTCTTACTTCTCCTTCCACTCAAGAATGATGCTGACTGATTTTTATTGCACAGGTACATCCACTGATACAACAAAACATTCCCAAAGAAACTTCCGAGTTTAGTAACAGTTTTAAACAGAAACAGGTATTAAAGAATAGGCAAAGCACTGTCTCCCAAGGACTGCCTCACTTCATCCTGACCTCTCTGCAGAGCACCTTACCAGGCTAGCCACTATCCCCAGAGATGTGCTAACTGAGGCTAACATGTGCCTACAGCTAAGTGTGGTCCAGGGTCACAGGCTTACAAGGAAGAGGGTCCAAGTGCACAGCATGAGCAGCTCAGCTCCCCCAGCTCAGGGCTCTTCCTTGTACCACCAGTTTGCTGCCACTGGCATTGGACAGGGTGAAGTCTAAGCGACACCTTATAATGGGGCACAGAGTAAGGGGCGGATACAGACACCTTTTTTTCTCCTTGTCTCTTTTCAAAAAGGAAAAACACTGTCATGGGTAAACATCTGTAGCAGAGCTGGCTGGAGACTGGACAGGCCTTCTTCCCCCGTCTGGAATTCATACTTATCTCCAAAGAGTGCCACCTAGTCTCTACCGAAATCTGGCCTGTGCTCCCCCTGCAAATAGTTAAAGTTACCTTCAACATCCTGTCCCTTAGAGGGAACAGTCACATGTGGCTATCAAAACAGCAGATTTGGCTATCAGCTGTGACTGTCAAACCACCAAGGATATCAAGGCAACAAAGAGGAGCTTGTACAGCTGGGTACTCCAATCAGATAAGCCGTCAGCCTAGGGCCTGTCTTAAAGACTGTCTTTGCTTTCAAAGGTGTAAAAGACTTATATTTCTTCTGATTCTTATTGCAAAAGATCTCTTAATTGACCTACAAAAAGTTCTGACTAGTCCGTTCAGAGTTACAAACTTACAAACAGTACAAGCCTTACTATTATTCAATTTGGCCACATATATCTGAGTGCATCTGGTCTACTAACAATTGGCTTCTATGTGTTGTGACTCCTCATAATATTTACAGCTATTGGGCCAGGGAGATGGCTCAGTAGAATAACTGCTTACCTGGCAAGCACAAGAGCCTGAGTTCAATCCCCGGTTCCGGAAAAAAAAAAAAAAAAAAAAAAAAATTTACATCTATTTGGTTTGATTTCAACATTTTTTTCCCTCTTTTTGGCCGTTTTGGATTTTTAAAATACTTAGTGGTAACTTAACTTGGCTTATTGGTAAGTGGCATTAGAGCTAAGAACATGCTTCCATCCAGGTTGCCAGACCATAACCTCCACCAGTAGGGGGGACCTAACAGCCAACGGCTTATAATCACTATTCCAGTCCTGTAAGACTGCTTTCTGGAAGGGGAAAAAAAAAGACCTTTTTCTGGCTGTGGCTCTTTCTCCAACCCACCTTGCCATTCTGCTGCTCATGCTCTGATTATATGTGCTTTAATTTCTAAGAAATTTTGTTTATTCTTCCTAAAGGCTGCCAAACTCCAAATGATCATGGAGATCAAACCAACAACAAATGTGCCAGACTCTTTTTAGCAGGATCCACTAGATCAGCCTTGTAAAGGGAGCTGATAACTGCTAACCTGCAATGTGACTTCTAGCCAAGACCCATCAGGTTAGCTCTCTGGTGAAGGCCCCTGACTGTGGTCTCCCCTACACCGACTCTTCCCAGCTCAGAGCAGCTGGATGGAAACTACACCCATTCTAGGATATCTCTTCAGAGAGGGGAAAGTCATAAGACGGCTATGTTAGGCAGAAATATTGCAGGCAGTCAGACACAGCTGGGCCGCAAGGGAGTCAGTGTAACAAATGAAAATGCATGGGAACTGTGGCTGAAGGCACAACTGAAGATTAAAGTCACAGTGGCTAGATTTCCATACTTCCCCAAGGGATGTCTAGAGGCTTGGGATTATTGGTATTACCCTATGAAGATTTCCAATTATCTCCTCATGAATAGGCTATCCTCTCCCAACCACTAAGACTAGGACTAAAGATCACTAAAACCAAGACTACTAAGCCTACACTGGATCTTTTTACTTTTTTTTGTTACAGGGAATCAAACTCAAGATCTTGTGCTTGCCAGGCAAATGCTGTGTCACTGACTGAGCTATATCCCCAGCCCAAGACTCCTAAGACTAAAGACAAAACCAAAACTGTCGATTATGGACCAAGGTTAATGACCCTGCGATCACTGGACCAATATTACCTAAATGACTGTACTTGCAATCTTATTGGGTGATTATAATTTTAGCCCTCATTGTACCTGCTTCAGGATTTTGCTCTATAAAACTTCTTTGAGAGATGAGCTTGTTGGCAACCTATTCAGGGGTCCTCCTGTCTCTAGGAAGCTATTCCTATTCCCCAATAATTTTCCCACTCTAATGAGAGAGAGAGAGAGAGAGAGAGAGAGAGGGAGAGAGAGAGAGATCGAGATCGAGATCTGTAGGTATTCAGGTACAATTCTCCTCTAGGTTTAAGTTATTAGCAAAATTCATCCTTTCACAGTGGAAATAGTTGGAAATAGCCAATAGTTGGTCATTACGTACTAAAGAGTCAAATATTTCATGTTTCAAGATTCCAGGGATTTAGCTTAGTGGTGTGGTTTCTGCCTGGCAAGTGTGAGTTCTTGAGTTCAATTCCCAGTACTATCCCAAAAAAGATTCCTGTAGCTGTACTATAAAAATACTGTTAACATTCAAATGTCTTAAAGACAAAAACAGGTAAGAAAGTAAAAGAAATATGTAAGGCAAGGGGCTGGGGAGATAGCTCAGTGGTCTTAGTGCCTGCCTCGAAATATGTAAGGCAGTTTGTTCATATAAATATAAAATATGATAAGTCAAGAATGCAAAATGTACAATAAATTTTTGAATTTTACACCTACAACAAGATGTGAACACTAAAAAGTAAAAGTGTATATGTACAGGACTTAATGTACTCTTGCTCTGTCAAGCTGTTTGTTACAGTTTTCAAAACCATTATGTTACTATAACTCTGCAAAGTGACAATCTGGTAGCAATGTAGTGCTTCAAATAAAGGCATTTGCATAATAAAAAATAGCAGATTCATGAATATGAAAATCATGATCCTAGTTTCTGTAATTTTTCTTATGACTAAGAATACATGAACCTTGGATTCAACTTGAGTATGATGTACAATAACTTCTAACATCCATTAGACAGGATTCTTTCAATGTACAATGTCACAAAATCACTAAGTCAAGAAATGGAGAATAAAACTCATCAACCAAGTTAAATTTCTCTTATTCAAGCATTAAAAAAAGTATTTCTTAAATTCCTGAAATAAAGCACAAATCAAATTAAATGCATGCCCCATTTTCCCAAATCATACCTTAAATACAGTCAACAATTTAAAGTAGTTATACTTACATTCAGTAAAGAAAATACTTAACAAAGGCCAACTACTATCAATTGATCCTAATTTAGGTAGAATTGTTGCATCGCCTGTGTATTTTATCCAATTTAAGGCTTCTTCCATTGCCAACATTTTCTGTTTCAACAAGAGGAACGAAGAATAGGGTTTGGGTATTAATTCTAAATCTGTGTGTGGCATTATGTCTTGTCTTTATGTGCTTCAGTTCCCTAACACAAAACTTCTACAACCCCATGTGTCTGCTGTTCCATCATGCAATGGAGAATAGCTCAACTCTGACACACAAGCAAACAGAAACATGACACACACGTGTTCCATTTTAGGTGAACTCGGGCCACTCAGAGTTCAGGATGCATCTGTCATGTACACAAACCCGGAAGTGGAAGCCTACAACTTGGCAGAGACTGTCCTCGGTAGTGGGAGGGCACGACAGGTGGATTAGGACTCTTGGATCTTGTATAAAGGAGGGCTTGCATCCCTACCCCAAGGCTAAGGTTCCCCACAGGGACTACATATTTTTACATAGCCAAGGGTAAACAAGTATCCTGAGGTCAACACCAAGAGAAAGGTGTGGCCGGGAAATGGGCACTCAGTGCGGTAAGGCTCAGGAAAGGTCAAGAGTCCATGGCAGAATTATTTACTCTTCTGGTGTCTGAAAAAACTTCGGAGATTAAGGATCTGAGTTACTCTTTTTACTGGGCTTAAAGGAAACATGTGGACATTTATGTCATCAGTAACATTAAAAACTGTTAATTTTAATTCTAGGTAATTTGGAGATTACCTAGCAACTATATATCAAAAATAGTCAGACCTAGGACCTAACAATTCTGGGGAATATATGCCAGGGAAACAGTCTGAAAAAGAAAAAGAATTAACTTGTGAAAGAGGCTCAAAATGGTGTTACAAATAAAAGGAAAAAACTGAAAATAAGGCAAACCTACAACATGACATTGTGGAAGTAAAATAAAAAAAATCAGTATTACAAAATACAACATATGGGGCTGGAGAGATGGCTCAGTGGTCTAAAGCACCTACTTGGAACAGGCTTGGCAAGGCACAGGGACTGCGGTTCAATCCTCCAACACCACATGCCAGCCAGCCGTACCCCCTGGTGGGCTGAGCTGGCCACACACATACACACACACACACACACACAATAAATGTTAAAATAAAAAAAATACAACATATAAAATATTGAGTTTGAGGACTCAATACATGGGAAAACGACCAATGAGATAACTGCCTTTATTCATAGTGAGTGTGCTGGTTTCCAGCGTTTAACACTTACATTCTCTATTTTATAACCAACTTTCAATAAGCCTTCAATAAGGAACGAATCATTCTGCAAAATAAAAAGAACAAAACACACATTGTTTTTCTTTATTCCATCAATTATACCTGAATATTTTTTTTCTTTTTCTTTGTTACTGGGAATTGAACTCAGGGCCTCACACTTGCCAGGCAGGGACTGTACCACTGAGCTACATCCCTGGCTCTATACTTGAACATTCCAATGGGGGAAAAAAAATCATTCATTTTAGGCTCATTCCTGGCATAATGACATTTTGGTCAACTTATTAGTGAATCACAAATAGGACAGCAACCCTGTAAGATTGTGTAACAGAGATAACCTGAGGCTGTGGTGACCTCACAGGAAAATGCAGTGCCTTGCTCCTGACTTCATGCTGATGCTGATGCAGGATCTAATGCACCACCAGTCACATAAAAATATAATGTGTACAATGTCATAAAGTTCATACTTGAAATCATAATAAATGGTATACGCATTTACTAAATTATACTCATTACTGCCATTTCAGAGTGTACTTATTTTTAAAAACTATAAAACAATATGACACATCACGGGGTCTCACAACTTGTATTTACTGTATCCCTTGACTTCATCAAGAGACCATCTTTAACTGACCTGTCCTATCCATCTAGATTTGAATACTCTGTGACTTTCACACAATGATGAAACAGAAAATGATGCATCCCTTAGACCGTATCACTATTTTTAAACAAGGTATGACTGTATGACTGTATGTACTTAGGAATATACTTCCCATACACAATAATTTTACACATATAAACCCCAAGACAATTTAGGAAGTCCTCCATACGATTCTGGTGATAAAATGATTTTGTGTAACTTGTAAATATGTAGATTTTAAAAATTTATTATTTTATTTATTTATTTAGTGGAACTAGAGATTGAACTCAGACTTTTGCGCTTGCCAGGGAAGTACTTATTCCACTAAGCCATCTCCCCGACCCCTATTTTTATTTTTTTAATGTATTTAGTAAAGGTTCTACAGGGTCTCATTATGTAGATCGGACTTGTAGTGATTCTCCTGTTTTCAGCCTCCAAAGTGGTGGGATTACAGGAACGTGCCACCACGCCCAGTCTCAATCCCTGTCTCGGGGGGCAGGGCCAGCATGGCAGGCTGGGGATCGAACCCCAGCCATTGTGCTCTGTCTAAGGAAGCACTTTAGTCCACTGCGCTATCTGGCTGGCCAATTTTTAAAATTTATTACACCTAAGTCTTTTATAGGTACACTAATTGGTATATTATTGCAAAGAATCATCAGCAGGCAGTAAGAACAGAATGGCCTTACTAAGACCTAAATGTGAATAGCATCAATAACAACGCTTGGCTCCTTAACCAACTTAAATAAGAAATGTTATCAAATGGCTTTAGAGGATATACCCACATGCACACAGATTCTCAGTGTATCACAAAAATTACTTTCTCAAATCTGCCCCAATCAATTCTGTTTCAAAGATAAAGTATTTGTGGATGGCAGTGTTTTTTTAAAATTATTTATTTATTTGTGTGTGTGTGTGTGTGTGTGTGTGTGTGTGTGGCCAGCTCAGCCCACCAGGGGGTGGGACTGGCTGGCATGTGGTGCTGGGGGATTGAACCATGGTCCCTGTGCTTTGCTAAGCTTGTTCTAAGTAGGTGCTTTAGACCACTGAGCCATCTCACCAGCCCCGGCAGTGTGTTTTTATATCAAAACAGTCTATCACTTTCAGAACCTATAAGGCAGTGTCTGCTTTAATTTGTAACAAATTCAATTTCTATTCTTTAATGACCAGAACCAGTCCTGGTCCCTGCTATGGTACCTCACAACCACAACATCAGCCAACTGCTCATCACCTCAATATGGAGAACACTAATGGACACTAGAATAATCTCAGCTTTACAAAAACTAAGGGCATTATATGTCAGCTGCTATAAATTAATAATATAAGCCTAATTTCATAGCTTTTTTATATGAGGGCGTGAGAAACATATTTTATTACTTACCGAAAATTTTTTTGCCAAATCCACAATATCTTCCATCAACTCAAGACATTGTAATTTTCTCAAATTTATCTCAGAAGGATGAGAATTGCTTAAAGACAATTTTATTTTTAAAAGATTAGGTTCTTATAGACACAAATTCACTGAACTTTACACCTAACTATGTTATATAAGAACTAAAATTATCTTTAAAAATTGTTACTTTTTCTTCACTTTATCACAAGTTTACTCTTTATTACCCTCAGAGTGTAACGGTGGGTCCCATCAAACATGTCACTTAATTTTTTACTGTAAAATTTTATTTATACTAGCCAACTGTGCATTTCATTACCTTTCCCTGAGGGATACAGAAATCAATCTTTGTGTTTACTCACTTGGCACAACAAAAATCAAGGTGTATGCACATGTGCAAAAGGGTGAAACCAGGATCTATACCCACACACAATTTAACAGTTTTTGCATATGCTTACCTGAACATCGCAGAGGGTATAATATATCCACAGCACTCTAGGATCTGCTTTGTAAAAAGTTTAATTTTGATTTTTCTGGTAGACGTAGCCCAATTCAACACAATGGCATGTAAGAGGCCAGATTTAGAAGCTTTGGAGGAGGCCAAAAGTGAACCAGCAGATTACTCATGCATAGATGATGAAGATGATCCATTATGGTAAAGTACCTATTTCATAAATACATGCGCAACAGAAGAGTGGTGTGGGTATATGATAATAATGATTATGATTTTAATGTTGGGCATGTGATCCAAAGCTCCTGTGACAATAAAATGGAACAAGAATTAAGTGAGACAAACACAGGGAGTGCAGACCTCCTTGATCCAGATGATGAAGAAAACAGCAATGAGAGTACATATTTGACCAGTTGAAATGTTACAAAGTGGTCACACACAACTAAATGGAATGATCCAATGTTAGAACTAGGCAAAAAAATATAGTGAGGGTCTTGTCAGGGATGAGATGTACTGGATAGAATGTGAGCACTGCCATTCAATGTTGAAAATAGTAATAGACAAAATGTTATAAGATGCTGTAAATAATGCAAAGCTGAGATATGAGGAAACTTTGGAATGAACCAATAGCCATATTAAAAAAATGTGTTATGACACCTCACAAGCTGAACTGAAAGCACTGATTAGTGTGCTGTACCTAGCAAGGATTTCTTCCTTCTTTTCTTTTTGAGCTATGATCTTGCTATGCAGTTTAGGCTGGTCCTGAGTTCACTTTGTAGCCTAGGCTGGTCTCAAACTCGCAAAGTCCTGCTTCAGCCTCCCAAGTGCTGGAATGTGAACTAACACACCTGGCCTTTGCAGGGATTTCTCAGAGTAATTGTAGGAATGTAAAAAACTGGTGGAAGACCAATGGGTCAAAATATGGCATAAAAATTTATGACCTTGTAGATGTAATGACTTAGTATGCTTTCAATTTAGACATCTCTCCTAGAACTCAGCCACCAGGTCCTTATTTGTAAAGTGATAAGCCAAATGATGTTGTGAGCAGACCTGCTCCTGTCTCCCAAACAGGAGGGTGACATTTAGTAACTGGTTTACTGGTTTTCAACTGATGTTACATTTGCTACAAAGCAAAAGTTGACTAGTATAGGAGCTATATTCAGGAACAAAGCAGAAATTTTAAATGGAATGCTGTAATTCCAAAGCAGAGAATTATATATTGCAACCTTTGAGTTTTAGAAAGATTTACATTAACCTTGCATATGGCAAAAAAAGTGATGCTGATGTCAAGAGTCCAGCATGATGGAAATATTGACAGGGAAAGCTCAATAAAACAGAATCCTGATATGGAAATTTTCTACAAAAAAAAAAAAAAAAAAAGTGGAGTAGATGATGTTGATGAGTTATTTGGTGACTATGATGTCACTCCAAACACACAGCACTCACTGGCCAACAAATCCTAAACATATGTGGAATAAATAGTTTGACAGTTTACAAAGAAAATAACAAGTACAAAATACTAAATGATGTTCTAGAGAGGGAGCAAATTGATCACAGCCCCATGAATGAGAATGGAAAGAACCTACCAAATAGGGCAAACAATTAAACACAGGAGAATAAGAGGTATACAATAGTAGTTTTTCAATTATTCTTTTGTGTTCAGCAGCAAGATATTTCCATCAGCACACTCTACAAATGGACTTCTCTTCCACCCTATGGGTCATGATTCCATCTGAGTCTACAGGGTGGATTTCAAAGAAATAGCTGTAGCTCAGTCCCACAAGTGACACCTGGCCACCAGTAACTGTCATGGTTATTATGCATGTCCACAACACACTTGAACTTTGTGCGGTATCCTATCTTCAAACTGTTAGAAGTGCTGGTCATTTATTTGCCATTCCAGTATTTATCTTATGTTTTACCCTTAGTACTTCTTTGCTAGCATGAAAACTTTTTCTTAGTTCAATTGTTTTGAAGCATTTAATTTTTAATTAATATTTAATTTTCTTCTCCTAGTATTAGAAACTTTAAAAAGTATATTTCCATTTTCTGTTGACTTTATATTACTTCTTCC